AATAAAATGCTGAAGTGGTAGGTAGATGCAAGATAAAGGTAGAAAACATAGTTTAGTGCTGTAAGAGGGCAAATGTAGATGATCAGGTGTGTGCCTATAGACTAAGTATTAATCCAAGCTAGACAAGGGCAACAAAATATTCATGGATGCAGAAGATTTATCTCAAAACAGGGGGGGTGAGGTTCTAAGCCTCACCTCTGTTGATCCTGATTTCTCACCTGATGGCCCCCCTGCAACTCTGCCTGTCTTAGGTTGTTCCTCCCTTGAGGAATCTTACCCGTCTCATCTTCCGAGGCCATACAGGGAAATGTAAAGTTGGTAAGTGAGAGAGAAGCAATATTGTTTGAAAAGGTTAGCTTTTTTTACTTTTTTGCAGATTTATGCCCTGTGGCTTCTATGCCCAGCATTTGTCTTGAGGTATCTTTACCACTTGGAAGAATTATGATACTCGGTAATTTCTATATGAGGCACGAATTCTACTTAGGGGTTGTAATTATAAAGGAAGAAGAGAAGCTATAGAAGTAGCAGATGGAAGAAAACATGGGAAGATTGATTATTTCTTTGACATATCTTCTTGTAGTATAACATAAACATGTATAGGTTTTAAGAAAATGATATTCTTGCTTCCTGGTATGATACAGGAATTAAACATTGATGGTTGTTAAGTACAAGAGAAGCTACCCTAAGATTAAAGGAGGGCTCTTGCAAAAAGGGCTCCAGGAATACACACAGAGGGCAGTAGGTGGGGATAGGGGCTGATCATATGTGGCAACTTGGCTGGGTCACTGGGTGCCCATTTATTTTCTCAAAAGTTATTTTAAGGGTTTCTGTGGCTGTTTTTGAGTGAGAGTTGCATTTTAATCAGTAGAATCTGAGTGAAGCAGATTGTCCTCCACAATGTGGGTGAGCCTTGTCCAATCAGTTGAAGGCCTAAATAGAACAAAAGGCTGACCTCTCCTGAACCAGCAGATGGTCTTCAGAACCTCATCTGCAGTACCAGCTCTTCCTGGCTCAATGGCAGATGCTTTTGAATTCGGTCTGCAACTCTTTCCTGAGTCTCCAGCCTGTCAGCTGTGAGTCCCCAACTATGTGAGACAATTTCTTAAAATAAATCTCCCTATATAAATACATATACATACATACACATACATATATATGCACACATACAAATTCTATTGGCTTTGTTTGCTGGAGACTGTCTATAAGCCACAGAGCTCTGTTTCACTTTACCCCGTTAGTAAAGGGGTATACTCATAGTACACTAATGGAAATGTTTACTTAGTAGTATTTCAGTGAAAATATATAACAATATTGATGACTTACAGAGAAAGTGAGACCTGTGTGATGTATAGTCTTGTGTGCTCTCTGTGTTCTGATACACAGTAATGTACCAGGAAGAGAGAAAGAGGAAAAGGAGAAAAAAAGAAGGTACATATATGAATTTTAGCATGGGTAAGAGCTTTTTGAGGTCCGCGAGCCCTGTGTTCTTACAGATGCAAGGAACCCCATTTGACATCCCGGGCCACCCCTTGGTGAGGCAGACGGTTCAACTCTGAAGAGTTAAAACTAACAGAAAGATGTCCTTTCAAGAAGCCAGGATCTCACTTCAAGCTCATTTCTTCCCCTGCTTCTAGTCTAATCATCAGAGGCAATTCAGAAGAAATGAAACCCCTCTTCATTGTTTCCCTTCAATATTTGAAGATCACCCTGTTCCTGATTCTCTTCCCCATGCAAAATGGCTTCCAGCCCCCTCACCACCTTCAGCCCACCTTCTGGGTATGTTATTTGCTAATATTCTTCTGAAAATAAGGCTGCAGGAGCTAAGGCTGGGTCCAAATGTGGTTTGACTTGCCCAGAATACACCAAGGTGCTTTTGTCTATACAAAGTTCTGTTTATTTAATTGAATTTTTAACCTAAAACCAAGACTAAATGCAATTGCCTTTGATATTATTTCAACTCATCACTGTTAAAGCAAAAAATATTGGCAAAACTGATCTGTGCCTGCATCAAGCTGTGGATAAACTGAGCCAGAAATGGAAAGCAAAATGGCTTGAGCCTAGGACTTATCTGTCCTTACTGGATGCCACTACTGAGACCATGACCGAATAATAAATTCTCCTTAAAGTTTTCAATATTTTCTTCCTTTTCCTGTTCTGTCCCAGAATGACTGACCCGCAATTCCATTCTCCTAGTCCTCCACAGACCTATAATAGTCATCTCTCAACCAAATCACATTTCATCTGTCACTGGGGAAAGTATGGCCAAGGTAAATAACTATGGCCTTTTCATAGCTGTGAAGTAGGTTGGACTGGACAAGATGCATTCCAAAGTCCCTTCAGTTTTTGCAGCCCTTTCGATCTGTGACTCTTGGGTCCCAGTATTGGCTGGATAAACTCCTCTTATCCACCCACCCAAATTTCTGCAGCACCGAGTCTACTCACTGGTCAGAAAGATCTGCTGCCCTCTTGGCCCCTACAAGGGTCTTTGAGCAGAATCTGAACAGGTTGTGTTAGAACATGAGTTTTGTTTCCCTTCTTCTTTGGGGCTGTCTGAGAATAATCACAAGATGTCATTTGAAGTGAACTGTTGCAGGCATACTAAAGTTCTAAAGAAAATGGATTCAACAAATGTACCTATTTACTTAGTATACCAGCTTGAATCCAATCAGTGAAATATTTTAAGAGAGCTTTGGGGGAGACAGAATGTAATAATGCATCTTCGAGTCTCCACCATGATAAATAACCAGTTTGAATAAATATTTTACTTCTCAACCCCAGTCAGAGTGAGGAAAATTTAAACTACTTTATGGATGAAACTCAAAGAGGCAGCTTACTATGTGACCCACAGCCTCACCATTAACAGAATGAAAAGACAAGCCACAAATGGGCAGAAAATACTTGCAAATCACACATCTGGGAAGACTTTCATGCAAAATGTATAAAGAACTCTGAAAACCCAATATTAATACAAACAAATTAATTCAAAATGG